AGATAAACGACATAGAGACCAAAAAAACAATACAAAAGATCAACAAAACCAAGAGCTGGTTCTTTGAAAGGATAAACAAGATTGATACACCTCTAGCCAGGCTCACCAAGAAACAAAGAGAGAGGACCCAAATAAACAAAATCAGAAATGAAAGAGGAGAAATAACAACAGACCCCATAGAAATACAAAGGATTGTTAGAAAATACTATGAACAACTCTACTCCAACACACTAGACAACCTGGAGGAAATGGACATATTCCTAGATAAATACAACCTTCCAAAACTTAACCAGGAAGAATCTAAAAATCTCAATAGGCCAATAACTATGGAGGAAATCGAAGCAGTAATCAAAAAGCTTCCAGCAAACAAAAGCCCGGGGCCAGATGGCTTCACAGGGGAGTTTTACCAAACATTCAAGGAAGACCTAAAACCTATCCTCCTCAGACTATGTCAAAAGATCCAAGAGGAAGGAGCACTTCCCAGCTCATTCTATGAAGCCAACATCACCCTAATCCCAAAACCAGATAAAGACAATACAATGAAAGAGAATTACAGGCCAATATCCCTCATGAACATAGATGGCAAAATCCTCAACAAAATCCTAGCAAATCGGATCCAGCAGTACATCAAAAAGATCATACACCATGACCAAGTAGGATTTATCCCAGGGATGCAAGGATGGTACAATATCCGCAAATCAATAAATGTGATACATCACATAAACAAATTGAGAGAGAAAAACCACATAGTCATATCAATTGATGCAGAAAAAGCATTTGACAAAATCCAACACCCTTTCTTGATAAAAACTCTCAGCAAGATAGGAATTGAGGGATCATACCTCAACATAATAAAAGCCATATATGACAAACCCACAGCCAACATCATAATCAATGGGCAAAAACTAAAACCATTCCCCCTAAAAACAGGAACAAGACAGGGATGCCCCCTCTCACCACTCCTGTTCAACATAGTACTGGAAGTACTAGCCATTGCGATCAGACACGAAGAAGAAATAAAAGGCATCCAGATTGGAAAAGAAGAAGTAAAACTGTCCTTATTTGCAGATGACATGATACTGTACATACAGAACCCTAAAGACTCCATCAAAAAATTATTAGACTTAATAAATGAATTCGGCAATGTAGCAGGATACAAAATTAATGCTAAGAAATCCATGGCATTTCTTTACACCAATAGTGAACTTACAGAAAGTGAAACTACAGAAGCAATCCCATTTACCATTGCACCAAAAAAATTAAAATACCTAGGAATAAACTTAACTAAGGAGGTAAAAGACTTATATGCTGAAAACTACAGGACACTGAAAAAAGAGATAGAGGAAGACATAAACAGATGGAAGAATATACCGTGTTCATGGATTGGTAGAATCAACATCATCAAAATGTCCATACTACCCAAAGCAATTTATAGATTCAATGCAATCCCCATTAAATTACCAACAGCATATTTCACAGATCTAGAACGAACGTTCCAAAAATTCATCTGGAATAAAAAAAGACCCCGAATAGCTGCAACAATCCTCAGAAAGAACAAAGTAGGTGGGATCTCAATACCAGATATCAAACTGTATTACAAAGCCACTGTTCTTAAAACAGCTTGGTACTGGCACAAGAACAGACATATAGATCAATGGAATAGAATAGAGACCCCAGAAATCAACCCAAACCACTATGCCCAATTAATATTTGACAAAGGAGGCAAGAACATACAATGGAGTCAAGACAGTCTTTTCAATAAATGGTGTTGGGAAAATTGGACAGATACATGCAAAAGGATGAAACTAGATCACCAACTCACACCATACACAAAAATAAACTCAAAATGGATAAAAGACTTAAATGTAAGACGGGAAACCATAAAAATACTAGAGGAATCCACAGGCAGCGAAATCGCAAACATATGCCGAAGAAATTTCTTCTCTGATAATGCTCCTAGGGCAATGGAAACTAAAGAGAAAATAAACAAATGGGACTACATCAAAATAAAAAGCTTTTGCACAGCAAAGGAAACCATCAACAAAACAACAAGAAGACCCACTACATGGGAGAACATATTTGCCAATGATACCACCGATAAGGGTTTAATTTCCAACATTTACAGGGATCTCATGAAACTTAACAAAAGGAAGATAAACAATCCAATAAAAAAATGGGCAACGGACCTAGATAGACACTTTTCGAAAGAGGACATACAGAAGGCCGAAAGACATATGAAAACCTGCTCAAAGTCACTAATTATACGAGAGATGCAAATCAAAACGACAATGCGTTATCATCTCACACCTGTCAGAATGGCTATCATCAACAAATCAACAAACAACAAGTGTTGGAGAGGATGTGGAGAAAAAGGAACCCTTCTGCACTGCTGGTGGGAATGCAGACTGGTGCAGCCACTGTGGAGAACAGTATGGAGCTACCTCAGAAGACTAAAAATGGAACTCCCATTTGACCCAGTGATCCCACTACTAGGAATATATCCCAAGAAACCAGAAACGCCAATCAGAAAGGATATATGCACCCCTATGTTCATAGCAGCACAATTCACCATAGCTAAGATTTGGAAACAGCCTAAGTGCCCATCAGCAGATGAGTGGATTAGAAAACTGTGGTACATATACACAATGGAATACTATGCTGCGGTAAAAAAAAAAGGAACTCTTGCCTTTTGCAACAGCATGGATGGAACTGGAGAGCATTATGCTAAGTGAAATAAGCCAGTCAGAGAAAGATAAATACCACATGATCTCACTCATTTGTGGATTATAGAGAACAACATAGACTGATGAAAAGGGACAGACTCAAAGACTGAGAAACAGCAATCAGGCTATCAATCCCCAGAAGGAAAGTAGGGGAGGGCGGGGGTAAGGGGAAGAGATCAACCGAAGGACTTGTATACATGTATATAAGCCATACCAATGGACATGGACAACAGGGGGATGGGAGCATGAGTGTGTGGGGGGGGGAGGTTGGGGGTTAATGGGGGGGATGAGGACACATTTGTAATACCTTAACTAATAATAATAAATAAAAAAAAAAGACTGTGCACAAAGCCCACGAGGGGGTGTACCAAGAGTGTCCACCTCAGGTAACTGGGGAGGCTGAGCCACTGGGCCCTACAGGACACCTAGCACACAAAGCCACTCTATCAACACAGGGAAGCAGCCAAAATGCGGAGACAAAGAAACAGGTCACAAATGGCAGAAATGGAGGAAAGCAAACGACTGGATACAGAGTTCAAGGCCACATTTATAAGGTTTTTCAAGAATTTTATGGAAACCGCCGATAAATTTAATGAGTCCCTCAATAAGTATAGTGAGACCCTGGAGGACATGAAAAAGGACCAACTAGAAATTAAGCATACACTGACTGAAATAAAGAATAATCTACGGAGATCCAACAGCAGACAAGAGGATCCCAAGAATCAAGTCAAAGATTTGAAATACAAAGAAACAAAAAATACCCAACCGAAAAAGAAAAAAGAAAAGAGATTCCAAAAATATGAAGATAGTGTAAGGAGCCTCTGGGACAACTTCAAGCGTACCAACATCAGAATTATAGGGGTACCAGAAGAAGAGAGAGGGCAAGATATTGAAAACCTATTTGAAGAAATAATGACAGAAAACTTCCCCCACCTGGTGAAAGAAATAGACTTCCAAGTCCAGGAAGCGCAGAGAACCCCAAACAAAAGGAATCCAAAGAGGACCACACCAAGACACATCATAATTAAAATGCCAAGAGCAAAAGACAAAGAGAGAATCTTAAAAGCAGCAAGAGAAAGACAGTCAGTTACCTACAAGGGAGTACCCATACGACTGTCAGCTGATTTCTCAACAGAAACCATGCAGGCCAGAAGAGAGTGGCAAGAAATATTCAAAGTGATGAATAGCAAGAACCTACAACCAAGATTACTTTATCCAGCAAAGCTATCATTCAGAATAGAAGGTCAGAGAAAGAGCTTCACGGATAAGAAAAAGCTAAAGGAGTTCATCACCACCAAACCAGCATTATATGAAATGCTGAAAGGTATTCTTTAAGAAGAGAAAGAAGAAAAAGGAACTCTTACCATTTGCCACAGCATGGATGGAACTGGAGAGCGGATAAATACCACATGATCTCACTCATTTGTGGAATATAATGAACAACATAAACTGATGAACAAGGACTGATCCAGAGACGGAGAGGCATTGATTGGACTGTCGGGCTTTGGAGGGAGGGTAGGGGAGGGTGGGGGTAAGGGGGAAAGATCAACCAAAGGACTTACATGCAGGCATATAGGCCTAACCAATGGACACGGACAACGGGGGGGGGAGGGGGGGGGTGAGGGCATGAGTGGGGGGTGGGGGAGTAGAGGGTAACGTGGGGACAAGGACACATATGTAATATCTTAATCAATAAAAATATATTTTTAAAAAAAAAGGAAAAAAAAAAGAGCAGCTTATTCCAAAATAAAGCAAATCAAAAAACAAAACAAAACAAAAAAAATAAATAAATAAAAAATAAAAGGACTATGAAGGCAAGGTAATCATTTGAGTAACCTGCAGGAAAGGGACAAATCCTAGAGAGCAAAGGATTTTTCAGATGTCTACAGACGATTCTTAAATTATACTTCACCCCAGATTTGGGGCACAGCTATAAGAACATATAACACCATTACCTTCATATTTGAAAACAAGGGCCAAGATGTGGTTTCAGACAGAGGAGGGGAGGCAAGAAGAAGAGGTGAGTAGGGAAGGCGGGGGAGTATCAGTCACCTGCTCTAGAAGCTGGGGCTCAGAAACCTTAGCAATTCCACTGATAATGTCACTGAGATGATGATGAACATCATTAAAGATGCAGCATCTATGTTTCCCACATAAATCCTTTACGGTACTTCCTCTATCATCTCCATGACTTTATAAACAGTGACAAGTAGAAAATCACTTACTAGAAATCAGGGATTAGTGCTGAAAACTTTCAGAAAAAGTACATTCGTTCAACAAACATTTATTGAATGGACACCATATGTTGAATTCAGAGTTCGGCACTGGCATTATTTTGGATTATAAAAACATGATCCATGGGCTCTGGGAGCTGAGCTTAGAGCAGCCACAACAAATAGGCTTCATCTTCTGACAACCTATCCAAACTCATCATGAAAGATCTGCATCAACTAGTAGCCATTTCTGCCCTGGGCAATGGGACAGGGGCCGGCAGCACAATAGGCCATATCTTCCATATCTCTTGAGACATTCTAATCTACTTAATCCTCTGGATGGTGGTGAATCTTCCAGAAGGCCATAGGGATTTGAGCTGAGAAGTTTATGGGTTCAAAAAAAAAAAGAATGCCTAAAGGAGTCCAGTGGCTAAGGGGGAAATGTCATTCAAACAGCAGATGGTAGTCTGGCGGGCTGTCCCTCTGGCCACAGGGCTCCTGCAGCAGCTCTCCTCCTGAAACAGTGATGATTTCTTCCTTAAAAAAAAAATAGAAATACTCACTTATAATCAACAAAGAGAAATAAGCATCCACCAGAGAGAAACTAATTCAAGATAGAAAAACTAAGAATATGTACCTGCCTCCTCCTCATTCAAATTTCTAGAAATCACAGAGGGGAAAAAAATATCTGCTTTTAACAAATAAATAAATGCATAAAAGTAAAGGAAAATAAGAAAGGCAATCAACAAATCAAAAATGTTGAGGAGTACTTGAAAACCAAAAGATATACAGGATGAGGTTTTCAGAGGCGTTACTGTGGGGCAAGTATCAGTGGACAGGTTGGGGACCCCCAGACCACAGAGGTCTTTGTCTCAGGCAGGGTAGAGAGTAAGGAGAGGTACACAGTTCCTTAAGGGGGCAAAGAGACCCACAAATTTCAAACACTCCCATCTCCAAAAGATGAACTGCTCACTATCAACTCCAACCCTGACAGCATAAAGAGAATGAATTTGGGAAACAGGAACTGTATCCACTGACGGATAAATAAGAAACTCAAAGTCAAAAAATCACCTCCTCGCTCAAAATTTGTAACTATTTAAGGAAAATCATAAAGATGAAAGAAAAATGGCGACCTTAACAACAGAACTTTAAGAGTATAAAGATCAAAATGCTTGGGATGAGAAGGATGGGCTCCTAATTACGATTCAGGGAAAGATCAAGTGTATAAAACAAACAGAAAGAACCTTTAAGAGATGTGTATTAATCTCCTCAGTGGACTCAGAAGATAAAGCATCCATGAAACAAGAATGGGCTCTTATTCAAAAAGAACCAATTAGAGAATGCCTGGACATGACAAGGATCCACATTTAAATCACAAGGAAAATCTCAACAGAAGAACTGAAGAGCAGAACGAACATAACTACAGAGCAATTTAGTCGCTGGTAGAACCAGGACATCAATAAGAAAGAGACACCTAAGAAGAAAAATGGACAAAGGATCTGAACAGACAATTCACAGTAGAAATCCAAGAGCCAATAAACATATGAAAAGAGCCTCAGCATCAGAGGTAATCAGAGAAATGCAAGTTAAACAGCAGTGAGATCCGGTGTCTGCCCATCTGATGGGGAAGATGTAAATGACTGACAGTCCCAGTGCTGGCAGCCGTGTGAGGACACAGCCTCGTGTAGTTTTGGCAGGAGCATGAGTTGGCACTACATTTTTGGAAGGCAATCTGGCAGATATTTTCAAATTAAAATGTGCATAGTCTTCTTCCCAGCAATTCCAATGCGAGGGTCCATCCTAGAGAAATCACCACACATGTGCCCAAACTGATATATACAAGCCAGTCTCTGCGGCGCTGTGTATGACCATCAAAACCTGGAAGCTCCACCAGTGCTCATCCAAAGAAGGAGGGAGTAATCCTTTCAACAATAAAAAATTTAATTTTGTTTAAAAAATGAAAATGTTCATGATCTGAAAAAAGCGGGGGGAGGAGGGAAAACTGAATTGTAATATACATCCATGCCATGGAATGCCATGGGTTTTACAAGGATGTGCATGTGGATTGGCATGGAGATACCGCAGTGCTCAATGACAGCCAGTGTCCTGATAACTCACAAATGGCAGGTACATCGATCCAGTACTTCACAGTGATGTCTCACTGGAACCTCGCAGTGACCCTAAGAGGTGAGTGCACTGAGCACTGGGCACGGGATCAGTAAGCACATATGCCATATCTTTCACATCTCATGAGACGTTTTCATCTTACTCAGAGGGAGACTAAGGCACAAGAGTGTGAGTAGTTGCCCAAAGTCATATACAGTCATAGAGTTGGGATTTAAAACTTGGCAGCCTGAATCCAGGGTCCATGGTTTTACAAAATATATTCTATAATATATTAAGCATGTTTAAAATTGAATTGCTGAGCTATTAGACAAGAATGATCCTATCTAATAAAGAGGGAATATGCTAATTGACCCTCACACCATCACAAAGATGGCAGCACCCACAGCCAATAAGGATAGAATATGCTAATTGACTGCCCTGTCCTCAAAGATAGCAGTGCCTACAGCCAATAAGGAGGGAATATACTAATTGACTGTCATGCCCTCAAAGATGGAGGTGCCCACAGCCACAAGATGGCTGGCAGGTGAGGGCAGTTGTGGGTGATCAGGCCAGCAGGGGGGCGGGGGGCAGTTAGGGGAAACCAGGCCAGCAGGGAAGGGCAGTTGGGGGTGACCAGGCTGGCAGGGGAGGGTAGTTAGGGGTGACCAGCCCAGGAAGGGAGGGCAAGGATCTGGCCTAAACTGGCAGTCGGACATCCCCCAAGGGATCCTAGATTGGAGAGGGTGCAGGCTGGGCTGAGGGACAAACCTCCCCCCCACCCCAGTCCATGAATTTCATGCACTGGGCCTCTAGTCCAGTTTATAAAAAATAAAAAAAAAAACTGTGTATGTCCTTTTATACGTACACTAGAGGCCCAGTGCACAAAAATTTGTGCATTCTCGCAGTCTGGGACCCCTCGGGGAATGACCACTTGCTGGCTTAGGCCTGCTCCCCAGGGGATTGGGCCTAAGATGGCAATCAGACATCCCTCTGGCAGCCCAGCAGCCCTCGGGGGATGTCCACTTGCCAGCGGGGAGCAGGCCTAAGCTGCAGTCGGACATCCTTAGCGCTGCTGAGGAGGCAGGAGAGGCTCCCACCACCACCACTGTACTGGCAGCCATCATCCTGGCTTGTGACTGATCAGAGCTCCCCATGTGAGAGCGCCCTGACCACCAGAGGGCAGCTCCTGCATTGAGCAGCTGCCCTCTGGTGGTCAGTGTGTGTCATAGTGACCAGTCATTCCCAGTCTTTCTGCTGTTAGGGTCAGTTTGCATATTATCTTTTTACTATATAGGATAGAGGCCTGGTGCACGGGTGGGGGCTGGCTGGTTTGCCTTGAAGGGTGTCCCGGATCAGGGTGGGGGTCCTGCTTGGCCAGCCTGGGTGAGGGCTGATGGCTGTTTGCAGCTGGTCACACCCCCTTCAGGGTGGGGGTCCCCACTGGGGTGCCTGGCCAGTCTGGGTGAGGGACTGTGGGCCATTTTCAGGCTGGCAGGTGACTGAAGCTCCCAACCTCTCCTTTTTTTTCTTATTTTTAAATTCTGGGATTTATTTACCTTCTATAGCTGTCACTGGAGCTGAGAGCCGGCTCCAGCTCTGAGGCCTCCGCTGCTGAAAGCAGGTATCTGGAGTTTGTTTAGCTTCTATAATTGCAACACTGTTGCAGCTCCAGCTCTGAGGCCTCTGCTGGCTGAAAGCAGGTATCTGGGGTTTGTTTAGCTTCTATAATTACAACATTGTTGCTTAGAGTGCAGCTCAGAGCCCAGCCGCGCAGGCGGGGAATCTTGGCTTCTTCCATCACTGGAGCAAGCAAGCCTCCTGTTCGCTTCAGCTGCCTGGCTGCCAGCCGCCATCTTGGTTGGCAGTTAATTTGCATATTCCCCTGATTAGCCAGTGGGAAGCGTGTCGGAGGTACAGTTAATTAGCCTACTTGTCTTTTATTAGATAGGATTTCTGTATTAATGCCCAGGAAATACTTGGATAGGTACATGGTGGAGGATGGAAACTCGGATTTGAAATGAACAACATTTACACTTGGTATTATATTTGATATTTCTTAGAATGTAATCATAAATTAATTGTCTAATTAAAATTTTAACTTGTAAAACTGGCCACCAGATCTCCACATGGGCCTAGATGAGCTCTCTCTTCAGTGTTAGAAACTAAATTTGTCGGTCTCAAACCTTAGATTTGGGAGAGAATAAAGACCTTCAAAGACACCTGGGTTAGCCTTCCTATTCAGGAACCTGTCTACAGCATCTCTGAGAGATGAGCATTACCCTCTGCTTGATTACTTCCCAGGACACAGAGCTCATCGCTGCTCAAAGCAGCTTATCTTGGACAGGAAAAGCAAGCAATGTGGTGTAGTGGGAAGAGCACAAGCTTGAGAGATACACGGCCTGAGGCTTAACTCCTAGACCTAGCTGTATCAGCCATGAAAACTTAGACAAGCTTCTCAAGCTCCCTTTCCATATCTGTGAAATGAGACTGATATGCCTCCCACACAGAGCTATGGTGAAGATTAAATGAGAACATGTACTTAGAGCAACAGGCAAAGTGCTTGACACAGACAAGGTGCCAACATTCTCACATCCCCTCCCTCTCCCTATCCTACAGTTATTAGAAGGCTCTTCCCAACACAAGTAGAACTCTGCCTTGATCTGGGTTAGACTGGTTTCCCAGGCAGTACTCTCCTCCACGTGTCTAGGTTTTGGGGAAGGAGTGATTTTCTGTGTGCTTTACAGATAAGATCAGGTTAAGAGTTGTCCCTAGAGCTTGGGGACATCCATAAAGAAAAAGCAACACAAATCCAAGAGTCCCTATTATAGAAAAGCCCAGTGAGGCAGTCAAGTAGTTCTTCAGGACTTTCTACACCTGTAAAGCTCAGGTAGAGGGTGGACCCCTAAGGTACCACAGCTCTGTCTCAGAATCCCTGGGTCCTGCCCTTCCAAGTCACTGAGTCCCACCTTTGTCTTCCTTTCAGTTACTATTGATGCCAGTAGCCACAATAACACAGAAATTGCTTCTTTCTACATATCCTATTTAGAAGGCAACATCTTTCTCAATGTGAGGTCCTCAGCAGAAAGAGCTCTGGGGAACGAGACTCCCTATCACTTAGTTAGAGTCCTGGTACGTACAAGTGCATCCCTCATTCAATGCTCAGAGGATCTGAGCTGAGTATTATCACACCCACTGGCCCGGGCAGGAAACTAAAGCTCAGAGAGACTAAGGAAGCTGCCCAAGGTCACACACGTACTCCCTGGTAAAGCTGTAGTTGGAACAAGAGATATGGTAACTCTACAAGGAAAGCTTTTCTAACCATGGGGTTGCTTCTTAGGCTTCTGCTAACTCTACAAAACTGCAAGAGGCCTTTCTACAATGTCCAAAAGAGGGACATCCTGGAGATGAGTCGGGGATGAGAACTGGTCTTGGACAGAAGGCTGGCCAACCAGGCCCTGTGTGTTGACAGTAGGGAGCACTCAGGTACTCAAGGTGAGAGGAGGGCTGGAGACCCTCCTGAGGCGCCTACATGGGTCAGAGGGTAAGCCAGAGAGAAGACCTGCATTGTCTGGTCTGGACAACTTCTGGTCTCGTCTACTCCAGGTTCCATATTCCTGTGGCCCCATCTGCTCACTCTCCATCCCCAGCTCATAGAAGGCCTACAGCCTGTCTCTCCCTGCAGCTCAAGTTTCTACCAGCTTTATCCCCTGATCAGCTCCGCTAAGAGCACTACCTTGTGGAAATCAATGAGATCGGTGAGCGTGGCGTGGCGATTGGGGTCCACTCCCAGGAAGCTGTAGAAGTCCCCGGAGGCATCCACCAGGAAGTGCTTGAACCCTGTCTGCCGGCGGTAGGAGAGGGTGTAGCCCCAGATTTTCTCACTGACCCGGACCAGAAACGCTCCCTCGGTCATGTTCTCGAGGAGATCTTCTGCATCCTCTCGGCTAATGATTCCTGGTTTAAAAAAGAAAAGAAAAGTCAGCAGGTTCTTCCTGCCCCTCAGCCTGTGTCAAAGGCAGGGAGAGGCCGCCGGGGCTGTCCAGCTCTTGCCTCAGGCCACTGAGGGGCCATCTTGGTCCAGAGCAGCCAGCTGTCAGCCTGGGGCAGAGTTCCCACAGGCCTGGGCTTAGCACACTTTCCTCTAAATTAAGCCACACTCATTTGGATCCATTACAGAGAATTAGTAATGACCCAGAATTGTAGCATCCATTGATTACAAATGCAAGTCAGCAGCACTGCCCTGTGGAGAGCCTTTGATGATGAGACTGAAGGACTCATGATTTCCCCCCACCCTTAGCGTGGGCCCCCCTCCCCCATTATAATGAGCACCTGGAAACAGTATTTCCTCTTAAGAAGTAAAAAGACTTCCTCTGTCTACCTGTGGACAGTAGGCAAACAATTTCTTAATAGAGGCACATAATTAAGCTCCCCTTCAGCTCAAAGAACAAACGTTCTCCGATTCTGCACCCTTCCACATGTGGCTTCACCCAGTGTAACAGCAAGTTAGAAAAATAAGTCCCTCTGGTTGGTTGAATTAGAAAGGGCTGCCTTCTGGGCCAAAATGGCAAAGTTCACATTTCTGTATTTCAGTCCCTCCTCCCAACTAGTCTCCCTCCCCCATCCACCCCCACCCCCGCCCCTCGGCAGGGTCCCTTGATTCAGGGTACAGCCTGTTCACCCCCCAGGAAATGGCTCTATCCCAGGAGGCTGCAGGGATAACCCATGTTGGGGCTCTCAGAACATCCTGCCCAAACTCTACAGCATATTAGTAAACAGGCTGTGGACAGCTCAAGGACAGAGCCTGTGGCCGTGGGAGCATGCGGCCCAGGCCTCCCTCCAAGACAGACCCTGCTGCCGGGAGCAGCGTGGGCAGCTGGCAGCCTCCTGCTGCCGCATCTTCAGGGCCCACTGAGGCATGCTGCCCCCAGCTGCTTCCAGCGCAGGGGATACCAGACCGAGGCCCCCGACTCAGAGCACAGGGGTTCCGTGACTGAGACACGGGTACAGAGCTGCCATTCCTACCCAATGGGGTCTCCGCTAGTGAGCAATCTTTGCTCCAGGCTTCCCACCAGCCTGACTGGGATTTTCTCCAGTACCAAGCTCTCCCTCCCAACGGTCCTCCTTCCATCGCTCCCTTCCTAGGAGTCAGACCTGCACCCCATCTGAAGACTCTGCCACCCTCTCCTGCCTGTGTCCTCTTTATCTTCCCAGGCATTTCCTCCAATAAATCTCATGCACTTCTGCTTTCCGGAGACCCAAATGGACACCAAAACCGTGACGTTATACCCCAAGTGCTGGGGATGCAGGGGGACTGGTTTGGAGCAGAGAACAAGCGCATGGACTAAAATCACAGCGCAGCCCGGCCAGTGTGGCTCAGGGGTTGAGCACTGCCCCATGAACTAGAAGATCATGGTTCAATTTCTCTTCCCTCCCTTTAATAAGTATTTATTAGGCACAATCTAGGAGCCAGGCCCCAGGCTGGGCACCTGGACATCAGCACCAGATGAGAACCAGTCCCTGCCTCCCAAAACCTCTGGCTCCAGACAGAAAGAAAGGTTGGTGTAAATTTTTAAAAGGGGGGGGGGGGGACTTGCTGTAACCATGGTGATCAACGCCACATGGGGTAAGGCCTTAGCCGCAGTGCTTATATCTAGGGAAGGTGCCCCAGTCAGCTCTGGAGCCCAGGGATGGAAGTGACAGACAGACTGAGAACAGAAAGGTTAAAACAGACAGGCATGGCAAGGAGGGCAGCTTGCAAAAGGAATTAGCACAGGGCTCCGTGCGGCTGGATGGAGCACTGAAGTAGCAGCTGGGCAACGGCAAGATGCATGGAGATAGGCAGGGGTCAGGCCCCAAAGCACTCTCCTTACCCTTAACAGAAGTACAGGCATCATGCTGAGGGCAATGGGGAGAGACTGATGCTTCCCGGGTGGAAGAATATGAGAATGTCCAAGGGTGGAAAATGGATTCAATGGGCATGAATTGGAGGTATATGAGCCAGGATCTCAATCCAGTGAGGGAGGGCTTCCTCCTCTGAGGATTACTTCACAGCTACATTCCCGCAGCTGTGGCCTTGAAATCCAGCTCCCGGGCCACTGGGCTGCCAGAAATGGCTTCCACTTAGAGACAGAGTGGCAAAAGGACAGAGTAAGGGTCACGGGAGACGCTTTATGCCAGAGCCAGCACTGGGCACCACCTGGGCACTCTGTGGCCCTCGTCCCATTAGTCGTCCTGATGACTCTACCGTCATCAGTTCATAACTGAGAACAGTGAGACTCAACAAGAGAAGTGACTTAGCCAAGATAACAGAGCTATGAAGGGTGGAGCCAGAATTTGAACTCAGTTCCTGGAACTCCAAGCCCAGTGCTCTCTGCTCTACACCATGTTATCGCATGCAGGGGACAGTAAGCGCTATGAAAAACACAAGAAGGAGAAGATTAACAAGGCCAACAGAAGTCAGGACAGGCTTTGCAGAGGCAACAAAGGCGGGTGGGAAGGGGGCCTGGAAGACCAGGTAGACCCTGTGAGCAGTAAGGAGTGGTGATGAGGTGAAAGGTGAGAAGGGATACCATGAGTTGAAGAGTCACAGTGAAGACTAAGAATGACACATCCATGGGCCATTTATACAAATGTAACATAAGAGAAGTTTAATCTAAGTCTCAGGAGATTAAGAGACATGGAGGATAGAATGAAAGGTCTGACACATGTATAATCTGAATCCCACAGAGGAGAGGAGGATGGAGAAGAGGCAATATTTAAAGAGTGCATGGTGGAGAATTAATTGAAGACACATCACCGTGAAACTGCACAAAGCTGCTCAATGTCTCATTTTGCCAACCAGAGAGAAAAAGCAGATTACTTATAAAGAAGAAACAATTAGACTAAAGGTTGACTTCTTAGTTGAAACAATTGAAGCTAGAGGAGAATAGGATAATATTTTCAGTGTGCCAAGAAAAAAAAATAACTGCTTAATTAAACTATCTTTCAAGGAGAAGGGCAAAATAAAGACATATTCAGAAAAAAAAATTGAGAGTTGACGACTAAGAGAATTCCAGGATGTACTTCAGGTAGAAGAAATATGATCCTGGATAGAAAAACTGAGATGCTAGAAGGAATGATAAGCATAGATACTGTAGGTCAACTTTTAAAAATATACATATTAACTTACAAAATTATTGTAATGGATAATTTGAGAGTTTAAAAAACTAGAACCATCTTATCACAAGAAAAAGGATTGGAGTTTAAAAAGTTCGGTTGGGTTAGGAAGAGGATAAAGATATATATTAAATTTAGAATATGTTAAGTACGCATGTTAAATTATCTATGTAAACCATGAAAAGACAGGTTTGAGTGTGATATAACTTCCAAACAACAGAGACGAAAAACTACAATGAGAAAATTGTCCTCAATGATGCATGAAACAAGCTAATGACTGAAAATAAGTAACTGAAAAATAAATACACTGTGATTCCATGTATTAAATTGAAAAGCCCACAAAGCTCAACACTACGGTTTTGGGAGATTAACATAGTAACAGTAAATAAAGCAATGAAATGATGGACAAAAAAATCAGGATAAGGATCATATCTGGTGGAAGGAAGAGGGCTACGATGTGAGGAGCACAGAGGCGTCCAAGGATAGCTGATTTCCCACTTCCTACACTTTCTTTATTCCCTTCACATGTGGAGGTGCAAACACTGTATATAGTCAATATTTAATGTTTAAAAAATATTAATATTGTTGCTCTGCAGCTCCCCACATATCCCTGCTATGACAGTCATTCCAAATCGGTCAATGTCCTTTGGCGGACGGAGAGGTTATCACCTGGAAATAAATGGTCACTAATGAGCTTTAACTGTCCAAGTTGGCTGAGTCTCTGGAGCCTGGTCCCAGCACCAGCCCACCCCGAGAGAGTCCGGTTTAATTCTTCGTGGGCACGCCAAGAACCAGCAATGTTTAACATCTTCTCATGCGCTTCTAAGATGTAGCCGGATTTGAGATTTGCTGAGAGCTAGTATAGACAAAGAACTAAAATGTGATTTTTGCATTCTAGAAACTCCCTGTATTTTCAGAGGAGTGGAGGTTTGAAGGCGGGGTTTTGTAGACCTACTTCAGAGGGATGGAAGGTAGATCCTGTGAGAAGTCCCTGCCAGGAGAGAAAGCGCTCTTCTGGGCTGAGCTGGGGCAGAGGGCGAGAAGGACTGGAAGGAGTGCCCTCACTACCTTCTGCACCCAGAGAGACTGAGACGGTAGAGGAGTCCTGTGCCCCAGTTTTTGTGGAGAACTAGCAGGTGCTGTGTCTGCGTAACGAAGCCACAGCCCGGCAGAAGTGGTGTGTACGGAGAGAGAACCGTCTGAAGACGGTGACTGTCAGCCTCCAGCTTCCTGTGAGCACCGAGGGGACCCAGGATTCCTACCACGTTCTAGTGAGGGGTTTGAAACATGGAGGGAGAGCATCCCTCCTGTGTGGCTGCTGGGACCAGAGCCTGGCTCAGCCTTCTGGAGAGCCATTGGCACCACTAGTCAAATGAAGTGCATGCATATCCTCTGGCCCAACAACATTAATCCTGCGATAGCTTATAAAGAAGTTCTTATGTAGGCCCATAGGGATCCAGTGCAACGACCTTACCTGATACTTAGAGTAAGTTGTGGTGGTAATGAGTTGGAGGCAATCTGGGCATCTGTGACTCAGGGAGTGGACTGGGCAAAATTAGGTGGCAGCGGCCTATGGAATACTGTGCAACAATTAGAACTAGAACACCAGAGGTGCCCGGAGCATGGACCTCATAGCAAGTGCTCGGTGAGGCCAAGAAACACAAGTGAGCCCCAGCTGGTTTGGCTCAGGAGATAGAGCATCGGCCTGAGGACTCAAGGGTCCTGGGTTCAATTCCTGTTTAGGGCACATACCTCGGTTGCAGGCTCCCTGCCCAGGTTGGGGGCATGCAAGAGGCATC